CACTTTTGCATTCAATTAGGTAGATGAAGGGGCGCAAGGCTATGAAGTAGAGGGGTGAGCGCATAGGAAGGGGCGAGACCTTGCAGGTGGATGTAGAGAGGGTGGGAGATACTGCGGGCGAAAGGGGTGGATAAGGTGAGACGATGAGTATACCTCATTGAATACCCTATATAGCCTATAGAATACCTTATAGAATACTTTCTAGAAAAACCACCTATATATTCTTTACAGAATACACTATAGAATACCCTGTAGAATGCCTTCTAGACTACTCAAAAACTTCCTTACAGAATACCTTGTAGAATAACTTATAAAATACTTTATAGAATAACTGATATAATACACCAAAATGTAATTCTTTTTGCTAATTAAAAAATCTTTTAATAATATGAAACCGTGCGTTCTAAACTTCCAGCGAATAATCTGGGTGGAATATTGTACATAAGGATCTATTCGCCCTTACTTTTATGAGAGTAAGTAAAATCCAAGGGCGCATTAACCCAAAAGGTAGCGGGCTCATATATATATACATATATCTCTCTCTCTCTGTCTCTCTCTCTCTCTCTCTCTCTCTCTCTCTCGCTCTCTCGCCCTCTTAGCACCTCCTGCTCTAAGTATCTGAGCGTTACTGGGTAGAGGCAAACCTAAATACTAAACCCTAAATCCCTGAATTCTAAAATCCTGAACCCTAAACCCTAAGACCCCAACCCTTAAACAGAGGAAAGCGCTGATCATGTGCACCTAGGCGCCACCTGCCCCGTGTACAAGTATCCCTCCCACTTCCTCCATGACCTCGGTCGGGGTCGGCCAGGCAACGCGGGAAAGTGGGGGGTTTAGGGTTTAGGGTTTAGGGCTATGTTTAGGAGGAGACATAGGGTTATATAGGATTATGCGGGAGATACCCTTAAGGATATTTAGGGGTACCTATATACGTATATATGCATTTGTATACATGTATATGTATATATATATACACATCTCTTTATATATATATAGAGATGTGTATGAAATAGTGTTTGGGGGTTTGGGGATTAGCATTTAGGGCTTAGGCTTGAGGGTCTTTACTGCTACCTCTGGTTTGCAGGGAAGGAAAGAGAAAATGGAAAAGAACATGGAGATCATTTCTGTTATTGGGGATGAGGTAGGGGCTACTAAACCCTAAACCTGTAAGGTTCGACTCCCTCATTCCCTGAATAGCCCGAGGTAAGGTTTGGAAGGCGTGTGCAGTCTGATGTTCTGGACCTCAAAGTGACGCTCACCTCTTTCAGGGTTTAGGGTTTAGGGTTTAGGGTGATACAGCCTTGACTGCCCTCATCACCCTAAACCCTGAACCCTAATCTGAAAGCCAATGCAGGTTTCCGCATCTCCTTTGTCCGCCAGGCGCTGGCAAGCATCAGCATGTGAAACCACGTTGATGAGTTATAGTCCCCCTTAAGTAGATAGAATATAGGGTAAATGGGGATCTTACTAGAAGAAAATATACCCAAAACCATATTCCATCTACTTAAGGGGGACTGTTTCTTAAGAGGATTGTGGGGTTATTCGGACTTGTGCGGGGAAAGGCCCAGGTTGCCAAGCAGCAGCTAGCATCCCCCAGTTGAATGGAAGCGAGGTGAGCTATAGTCTAAATTCCTTAAAGGGGTTGTATAAGCTATAGTCTAAACTCCTTAAAGGGCGATTATGTAGGGGATTATATAGGGGATTACTATAGAGGTTTTTAAGGGGGATACTAGGAGTTTAGACTATAGCTCATATAAGGGATTATAGAAGGGATTTCTTTAGGTGTCATGATGGGGGATACTAGGACTTTAGACTAGGGCTCAGGTGGTACATGTTGCAGTGCATTTTTGTTAAGGAGAGATGTCCATGACGTTTTCTGCATGTCCTGAGGCAATGATGCGCTTCTGTCGATCAGCCGCTTTTTTGTCAACATGTCTGGGGTCTTTGGGTATATGTTGGACGAGGTAGGAAAACGCTCAAGGTATAATGGAAAATAAAATGGAAACTGCTATTTTAGGGATTAGGACTGAGCCCTCCCCAGAGAACCCAACACACCTGAATCAAGGAATACATCATAAAGGATAACAGGACCCTTCATATGATTTAGGGTACCTCCCTCAGTTGAGGGGTATTGGGCACCGTGGCTAAACCCTAAACCCTAAGACCCTAAATCGCTCAGATTGGCTCATGTGCATGTGACAGGCAGCCATCGGGTGGTCTCGGAACGAGACACGTGTGGGGCGCTTCGAGGTGTATCATCTGACAGTAGGGGTTTGGGGTTTAGGATGTAAGGTTTAGAGTTTAGAGTTTTAGTGTTTATCGTTTTTCTAAAGATCGTTGTAAAGGAAAGACCCTATGGAATAAACTTCCTTAAGGGGAGATCCCAATCGAACAGGGAACCTATTTAGCTACCTTGGGGACAGGTCATTTGAACAATTACCAAGCGACATCACACCAGTTGCCGGCAATGACAGAATGCCAAGTAGCGCTCGAGTAGCAAAGCGTTGCAATTTGCGTAGTACATCCACAAAGTACCAATAGCCTAACCAGAAACATACTCTTAACGCTATTGCTCAAAGGTCTCAAAGGCTTCTGTTGCACAGTTGTGGTCTGATGAGCATTATGTTGCCGACTGCTTTACTTGCGGTCTTCTAAGTATCAATGATGTTGGTGCCCTTCCCAGTGCCCCACCGCGAGTTTCGGCCGGGTCAATATCTGAACACAGGTCTGAACATCTAGCGGTCTGAATAGTAATCCTTACGTCTGGATTGCAAGGATTGCAGGAATGGATCCTTCTAGTAGTCCATACAACTCCCCATAACAACGATCACCATCTTCTTTTCCAGAGCTAAGTCAACAAACTATGGGTCTCTGGAGCTGCAGCTGTTCTTTGGCGGTAGGAGTTAGTACAAGGAGTTTGGCAACCCCAACCCCCAGAATTAGGACCATGTAACCATCATATGATAGTCATAGGGTCCTAATTTTGGGGGCTGGGGGTACCAAAATCCTGTTATTAGGAGTGGGAGAAGGAGGCAAGAAAGGAGGCGGAGGAGCGAAGAGGAGGAGGAAGAGGAATGGGAGGAATTGGTAGTCTCGCCCCTCATTGTCGTAGGATTGATGCTAGGATAATTCCCGGCCCGGGTAGCTTCATCGTTATCATTTTCATATCTAAACGGATTCTGACATGATGGTTAATAGGGCATGTCCCCTTGCAGCCACAGTTTCCACGATGGGTAATAACTAGGGTAATAAGACCCGATTAAGGACAGTTACCGGAATGGGGAATGACCCAAAGTATTCATAACAGTCATTATGATACTTAGAAGGTGTGCAGCTGCGACAGTGTTTGTGCGAAGTGTGTCTTCATTCTACTGTGTATCTCAAAGTTTTATGAGTAGCAGTTATCTCAAATTTGTAGGAGTAGTACAAGCAGCAGTAGTAGTAGCGGTACCAGTAGGAGAAGCCGTAGCAGAAGGAGTAGCAGACGCAGAAGAGGGTGGTGGTAGTAGAAGGAGCAACAGCAACAGCAGCAGCAGCAGGAGGAGGAGGAGGAGTAGTAGTAGTAGTAGCAGTAGTAGTAGTAGTAACATTTTAAAGTAATCATAATGGAGTATAATGGTAATCGTGATAGTAATAGTAGTCGTAATAGTATTAGTAATAGTAATCGTACAAGGAGGGCATGAGCAAGATTTGGCTTCCAGCTCTTTCTGCTAAGTTCACCCCGGCACGCTGCTTCGTGGATGCCTGCGCCCGAGAAGCACGTCATCAGAATCCAGCACTTAAAAGTTCCTCAGAAGGTTTAGGTTTTAGGGTTTTGGGGTTTGGGGTATAAGGTTTAGGGTTATATAGCCCTAAACCCTAAACCCCAATAAGGTTAGTTTTGTGTATACAGGGGTACATAAGGTTTCCGGAATTTGGGTTTAAGTTGAAGCCTTGAATTGGCAGCGTCTCAAGATCAGGGCAGCGCGGGGGGCCTTGGGGAAATGAGGGAATTTTAGGTGGATTATCGGAGTCCTCTTTAGGGATTACAAGGTGTTGTTCGACAAAAAAAGTATAACTGTTTGAGGTGTTCTTTTTCTTTTTTGGGCGGTTTACCTCACTGAAGCAACTTAGGGTACATATTCGGGCCTGCCGTGTATCGAAATTATATTCTGCAGAAAATATGAGCATGATACTTCTAGAGATGCTACGAGCAACAAGCAATGACAGCAACGCTGATGCTGATGATGCCTGTGCGTGTAGGGGGGGGGTGGGCTGGTGTGTTTCTGAAGGCCTCCTACAGGCGCAAGTGCGCACCCTCCATCATCGTGCTGAGCTCAGTAGTGTGAGTTTCTAATAAATTGCTCTGATAGAATCCTTGCTTATGGAGGCTCCCGCATAATCCCATCATCATCCCCATGTATTTTTATGGCCTCTCAGGGAACGCCAATTTTTTTGACGCCCTCTAGTGACACTCGCAGCTGATTTGCTGTCATAGTTGAGACGTAGAGATGGATTTTTACCTGGACGCCCATGCATAGCCATTAGTGGACTCATACAGGGCTAGGATGGTTATGATGATAGCCTAGGTTAAGGGGCATTTCACCTCACTTGCAACTACCCATGAGTCTCGCAGTAGTCAGTGGTGCATACCGTTTGAGCCGTACGTTAGTTGCGACTCTTCAACCCCAAGAAGGGTTCAGGGTGCAGGGTTACAAGTCCTCTACAGCCCATTGTGTTTACCTATGTGCCCCCTTGTATATCTATAGGTTCTAGACGTCCCATAGTATCCATCTTAGGGACTTACAATCCCACACGCAGCCCCTCACTTCCCCAGGCTACACCCATGTTGAGCGCCCCCAACACCCCACTTTGGCTCCGCACTACAAATTCGAGGCCCGCAAGCCTAAATCCCATAGTTTTGTCAGCTGATTGCCAGCTGGAGATGTGTCGCAAGAGGGCTTTGGTAGGTCTAACTCCCCCAAATTAGGACCTTGTTATGGCTATAGGGTCCTATGTTGAGACGTTGTTTTCTGAGCCCGAACTCCTCTGTATAACTATAATAAAGGGACTCTACTGGGAACCCCAAATAGGGAACCCCAAGAATATAGCAGGAATATGATGGAATACAAGGACCCTGGTAGGTATTTTCCTATTATATACCTACTATATTCTTGAGGTTTCCGGTTTGGGGTTCCCAGTAGAGTCCCTTTATATAAGCCCTCAACCTCCATTTCATTTGCCCCTTATGCTCCATACCTATAAGCCCATAAGCTCCGCCTAAACCCGACATAATGCCAAACCCTATACGCACCCCATGTAGACCTGAAATGAACCCAATATGATTCCTAAACTATCCGGATGTAAGCATTTAAACCTTGATATTCTAACCCTATACGCCCTAATCCTTATATGAATCCAATGGAGATGTGGTAGTTTCAATATAGGGCGACCCCAATATCGATTTCAAAATATTAGAATCCAAACCCCAAGCCGTAATCCTTAAGCCCTATATACCCCTATGGAACCCTTACATAGCTCCTATGTATCCCTATCCCCTATAACCCAATAACCCTAAACCCTAAACCACTCATGGCATAGGCCGCCCACCTTCGATGGTGGGCGGCGCTTAAGCCCCTCGACATCGGTCGATCCAGGACGCTTGCCTGCCTTCCCACAGCCAGGGGCACTGTAGCACCCGCAAGAGGCCAGGTACCCAGACCAGTACTGGTTTTCCAAAACAGCCCAGAACCTTCCAGGGCCCCAGCCATCCCATGCCTGCCTCTTCCAGGATCGCTCTCCTCTGCCGCAAGTTTTGGGACTAGAGGGGGCTGAGAGCCTGGAGGAGGGGCGGCCGCTGCCGCGGGCCTTCCAATTCCTTCCAGGGCCTCCGGGCTTCCGGGTCCTCAAGGGTAGTGCTTTCCAAGCCAAGAGTTTTTCTCAGGTCCAGGCCCTTTGCAGCCCTCTCCAAGCTTCCTTCCAGGCCCTCCTTCCAAGGCTTCCTTCCAGGCTTCCAGAATTGCAGGGCTCCCAAACGTTGCAAGTCTGAACTCCCAGCTCTTGGCTCAAGAAATGTTTGACAGCCTAACATCAAAATGAAGAGGTGTTGTTGGCCAAGATGGACCTAACTGAGTTTAGGTCTTAAACCCTAAAAGGAATAGGTTTGGGTGGTTGGGCCGCCTCACACGGCGTGCGGTTGGTGATTGTGTTAGATGGCCTTCCACAGTCCGGCCATGGCAGCACCTCGCATGCAGCCATGCACTTGAAGGATCAGTGACACCTAATCATCACATCCTGCACGGCAACATCACAGCAAACCTTAAACCTTAAACCCAAAACCCTAAACACTATAGTAGTTTCCATTTTCTTTTCCATTATCCGAATAGAACCCTTATATAACACCAAATAACCCCAATATAATCCCAATATAATCCTAACATAACCCGAACCCCGAACCCTAAACCCTTAACCCTTAACCCTTAAACCCTTTATTCTATCTGCCTAAGGGGGGCTATACCCTACATCCTAAACCCTAAACCCAAAATCCTAGGCCTCACCTCCGGCAGCGTGTGCCAAGTCAGCGTGACGTAACGCTGGACTCCGTCTCGCATGCTGCTGGGCCCCATGTGAGGAAGGGTTTAAGGTTTAGGATTTAGGGTTTAGGGTTTCGGGTTTAGGGTTTAGGGTTTCGGGTTTAGGGTTTGGGGTCTAAGGCTGAGGTGAGGGTTTCAAATTGTGGATTTGCGGTTTGGGGTTTAGGTTTAGGGTTAGGAGGTAAAAATTACCACGGCAAGGGGGCATCAAATGGGCAATCTTCTGCAGCAATAAATGGAAACTTGGTAGGCTTGTGTGGCTTGCTGGCATGCCTAGGTCTCAGGTGAGTCCTCAGGTGGGACATAATTAGTTGTTTCCCAAAATAGGGGGACCCCAATATAGACCCCAATATGCTATAATCCTTATTATGGGCACACCCAACAAAGGTACCCTTAATTTTACGAAGCCACATTTAGATAAGAATGCAGCAGACCCAAAAAGCGGAGTAGGATCATTACATGACTCAGGTTTAGGGTTCAGGGTTATAGGGTGTTTCTCAACACTAGAAATCACCCTGTGTGTAGGGTCTTCATGCTGAGGGCGCTGTTCCTTCTTAGAGGGGAATCTTGATTTGATATGTTAGGGTTTAGGGTTCAGGGTTTAAGTATCCTGGTGGACACTACCGCGCATATCACTTCTTGGTATGATTTGGGTGCATGCCC